CACCCCCCCCCCCCCAGTTTAGGCATCGCACCAAGCTGTCCTTTCTGGAGAACCTGCTGTGCCGTTTGAGGTTTCAGGGACCGCAGCCGCCAAAACTTGGTTTGGCTTTGCTGCTCCGCTTTTCTTTTCCGCCTGCTCTGAACTCAGCTTAAGGTGAGCTCCCTCCAGCTTCTGTCTTCTCTTGAGGCGGAGCGATGGCCCTAAATACGATGTGTAGATGAGTGTTCTCAACAAGCCACCAACAGCAATAAATACTGGGGTTCATTCCTGGTTTGCAAGTGTAGTCGTGATGGCAAACCTCGGTTAGCAGAAATATATATTTTGCCATCAGACTTCAGGCCATGGTTTGGTACCTCCCTGTGGTGACCCCTCCCTCCAGAAATTGCAGCATGGGCTGTATGGTAGTGACGCTTTGGATGCAATGCTGGGCCATGGATTTTGTCATGGTTTGGGTTTAGTTTTGAATGCCACTTTCCCCAAATATTCCTGGTGCTATGTGTAATTTAAAGTGTCTAGTCTCTTGGGCCTTAATACAAAGATGGAGAGGGGCAGTGCAGGGCTCCCTGGCCGGGCCCCGAACCTTTTAAGGCAAAGTTGGGGAGCAGCAGGCAGGACTCTGGGCGTCTCCCCTAACCTGCCTCGCCTTCCTTCTTGCAGCCGACCGAGAGTTCATCGAGACAAGGAGACGCGCCTTGAAGAGGTTCGTTAACTTGGTGGCTCGGCACCCTCCGTTCTCCGAGGATGTGCTTTTGAAGCTCTTCCTCTCTTTCAGTGGGCCGGTGAGTGATGCCCCAGGTGTGCTTCGGTGCTTTGTACCCCAGGAAATATCTGACTCTCACCGCGAACTCTCTCTTGTGTTAAGAAGGGGGTTAAGAGGGACGCAGGATACTGGGGTTGTCTGAGGCAGCCCACTAGTCTGTGTAGCTCAGTATTGCGGACTGAACCGACCGGCTGGGTGTTTCTAGGATTTTAGACAGCTCAACGTGCAGAGGGTTGAGTTGGGCTCCTTTGCCTGCAGAGCCACTTGCCCCTGCCACTCCGCCGTGGTCCTTTTCCTGGCAGATAACACGGCGCGGTAGCATCTCCTTAAAGACTGGCTGGGTCTGTTTTCTGTCAAGGTGGTCCAAAGATGGGATTCACATTAGTCTGACAATGGCAGGAATGGTAAATGCCAAAGATGTAGAACAATGTAGACTCTAAGATGGGTGCTGAGGTCACAGAGAGCTTTTGGTTTACAGGGGAAGTTAGACAGATAAAAAGTATTTTAATGTACCATTTATCTTTATTTCAATCTTTTTATTCTGTGTTTCTGTTTTTTTGAATTTTTATTGTGTGTCGTTTAAATCTTGGTCAGGAAAGGAGGGTAGGAGTTTTTGGGACAAGCTTTTTTCTTCCAGGTGTGGCCACTGTGATAACACCTGGAGATGTAAAATTTCTGAACAGTTCCATTTTTTTTTCCAGAAAAAAAGTTTCCCCCCAGAAAAATTGGACTTTTCCAGGAAAAAAAAGAGGGGATACAATGGAAATTTTTGGAAATTTTACATCTCTAGAGGGGATACAATGGAAATTGTTGGAAGTTTTACATCTCTAGGTTTTGCCAAACTTTGGCTCTGGCTGTGACTTCTGATCTGCCTTCTGTATTGTTACCTTACGTCACCGGAATGGGCCCTGATTCAGAACCGTGGAAGAGGACGAGTCAGGGTGACCAGAATGGGTTGGGTTGGGGAACAGGCCCTTTTCTGTGAAGGCAGGAAGCACTGCAGGTCCCTTTCCCGTAAAAACTTGGATCCATCCCTTGTTTTCAGCCTTTCTTGGCTGCGAGAGGTCAGCTTCCTCCCAGCAACCCCACTAGAAGCAATTAAATGTTGGGACATTTGCTGAGGGATGCAAAAACCCAGGAATGTTAACTAAGATTGCAGTTGCTGGACACGGAGGGAGGGTGCATCGCCTGACTGCCTTGTGCTTTTGCAAAAACAACTAAACCAGCCACTGTTTCCCCCTCTTTTCCAGGATGTGCAGAATAAGCTGAGGGAGCTGGTCCAGGGTGTGGGAGACGAATACATGACTTGCAAACTAGCGCCTCAGGCCAAGGTATGATCTCTGCCAGGTAGCGGGAAAGCCTCCGACCTGTCTGGCAAAGAGGGACCTTCCGAAAGCTCCTTTTGGAGAGCAGAGAGAGAGAGAGAGAGAGGCAGTGCATTTTAAAATATTGTAACCGGTAATGACAGCTGATCACTTTTTGAAGACCAGAATGAGTCAGGGTCCACAAGGATCTCTCCAAGCCCTCTAAATAGCGATAGATGTCATCTGTGTTAGCACAACAGTTGGCAGAATTGGCATCGACGCAGCCTTTCCTGGCCCAGTGCCCTTCAGAGGTGTTGCCCCTCCTGTCTATCCTGTGAAATTGCATGCTTATTTGAAGAGTGTCTTCTTCCAGAACTGCAGAGGCATCCGGGGTGGATGCCCTGTCTGTTTCTCTGATCTTGCTTTTCTTCTCCCTCCCTGTGATTTATTCTCTGGGCCCTCCGGCAGCCAGCCCTCTAAAGCTCCTGCAGGGTCTGTTGACCTTCCTATTTGTTGCTCTCCCTTAGGATTTCCTGCCAGCGGACATCCAGGTCCAATTCGCTGCCAGCCGGGAGCTGATCCGAAACATCTATAACAGCTTCTACAAGCTGCGGGACCGAGCCGAGAGGATAGCTTTGCGGGCGGTCGACAATGCTTCGGATCTCCTGATGTTTGGGAAGGAACTAAGGTGACCTGGTGTCGGCTGGACCCGTCCCTCTTGCAGCTGGCTGGATTGCTCCGTGGTTGAGGTCTCGGGCCGCAGAGCCAGAGGCTGGGAGTTCGAGTCCCCCGCTGGGCCTCCTTAACAAGGGATGGACCTGATGACCCCTAGGGTTCCCCTCAAGATCTCTTATTCTTACATTAGTATTAAAGTGCAGGATCAACCAGATGAAATGAAAGAGAGGCATGACCAGGTCTCCTGCCACTTTCATGACAGGCTAAGAGCAGCTGCGGAGCCAAAGCAGCTGTGGAGGGCTTGGTCTAGGTTGAGACTGTGGGGCTGGGGGGGCATGGTGGGGGGTGGTCAGTCTCCTAAGGAACATTGCTCTTCTGCTACATCTGTTGGTCCCAGCTGGGAGACACACAGGCAAGAGAGAGAGAGAGAGAGAGAGAGAGAGAGAGAGAGAGAAAGGCGATTGAGAAAGGCAATCTCGTGAGAGCTTCTCGCTCGATCCGACCAGGGTGGCTTCCTTTCTCTGCAGTGCTTTGGGCTCGGACACGACTCCGCTCCCGTCTTGGGCTGCCTTGAACAACAGCGCCTGGGGGAACCTCAAGCAGGCCCTGAAAGGCCTCTCCGTGGAATTTGCACTCCTCGCCGACAAAGCTGTGCAACAGGTGAGCGCCTTCTGCGGCGGCCTTGGGCTTTTGTGGAGGGACCCTCCCCAATGAAGGCAAGCCTGGAGGCTCCCTCCCTCCCCCCCCCGCCGACTCCCACTGCCAGGGCTCTGCCGAATCAGACTTGCAGACAGCCAGGTAATAGGCAGGTGGGAGGACCAGAGGCAAGTAGCATGAGTTCCAGAAGTGACTCAGTGGTCCAGAGGAGGAAAATGACCCAGCTTTGCATTCTGAAGGAAGGGAGGGAGGGAATTCCTTTCCTCCCTCCCTCCCTCCCTCATGCAAGGACGCAGCACTGGTGTAATTTTCATTATATAAATCCAAGCATGCATATCAGGAGCGGACATTCCTAAGTCAATTTAATGGGCTTTTGAATGGCATTGCCGTGACAGCCGCATGCTTTTCAGACTACAGCTGCCAGCATAGAGCAGCGAGCGTGGCCAGTGGTAGACTCTTCCTGGAGCCGTAGTGCAAGAAACACATTCTCAAATCTCTGCCTAAAAGTGTCTCTTTCTGACCTTGCAAGCGCGGGCATTTTGTGTGGGCGGTGCATCTTGACAGCAGCCGTAGTTGCCAAATTGCCCGGATCGGGGGAACGGCGCTTGAGGCAGCTGCTCTATAAGGCTAGCCGGGCCTCCGCAGGCCCCTCGTAACTTTTGATTCGGCTTGGTTGACAAGCTGCCATATGCATTT